ATACAGCTCCTCATGTTGTGGTGACCCCTAACCATAAAACTATTTTCGTTGCTGCTTCATAACTGTCATTTTGCTACTGTTATGAATCGTCATGCAAATATCTGATATGCAGGATGTATTTTCATTGTTACAAATTGAACATAAAGCATAGTGATTCATCGCAAAACAGTATGTAATTACATATTGTGAAATATTTATGTTGGAGGCTAGGGAGAACTAGTGAACACTGGGTGCCAAGAACAAGGTGCCATTCTCTCTCACTGCCATGAGCCAGTGCTGAGTCAGCAGCCTGCTCTAACTGTTCTGAGCCCAGAACTGTTGGCAAGAGTAGAAACCCGTTCTTCTCCCAGCTCATGGTTTCAAACTGCTGACCATGCATATCGCAGCCCAACACGTACCCACTAACCACTACACCACCAGGGCTCCTCACAGATGTCATGATTACCCAAGGGGAAATCAATGCTCAAGCAGTAAGCTGACAAACAGCTTTTGATTCGGACTGACCTAGTCTCCTCCATGCCCCAGTTGGGCTGAATTGGCCAATGTTGTTGAGACTGGAAAGGCCGGTCAGCACCACACTGCTTCCTCTGGGGTCCTCCCTTGACCAAATGGGGATTGAGCGACATTGACCTCCAGTGGCCCTGGCCCTTTCTCCCCACTCCTTCACCATGGTCAAAGCTGCTCCTGCCCTGAAATTCCATCATTTCCTTCTCACCCACCACGCCACCCTAACCCCCAACTCATTACTGACTTTAGGAGTCTTGTCAGTCCTTTACCCTTGTGTATAAAATAAGCATCAAAATAGGGTCTCTCGCAGGCCACTGGCATTTTAAGTCCAATCCTTTCCAGTGAAACAGAAGGCTGCGTCCTGCCCATACCCCATTGCCTTCACAAAGTACTTCTGGCAAGAGCGCAATGGGATCCCCTGAAACCAAGCAACAAATACCCACCACCCCACCTTTCTTGTTCCCAATCTAAGTGCCCCCTCCTGGGGCAGTCCTGCTGTCACACTGGGGACTGACTCAAGGGCACCAGGACCAGCCCATCTCCTTTGCAGACATTCAACCATTACCCTCTACTGTGGCACGGGGAGAAAGACGGCTTTTCACTCCCATCCAACATTACTGGCTCAAAGACTCGCAGGGGCCTGTCCTGTAGGCTCACTGGAGTTGGCATTGCCTTGATGGCAGTGAGTTTAGCTTTGTTTTGGCATGGAAGTTTCACCCACTTATTCACCCGAGACTTTTAAAAATCATTTTATTGGGGGCTCTTACCACTCTCAACACAATCCATCCATCCATCGTGTCAAGCACATTTTGTACATTTGTTGCCATTATTTTCAAAACATTTTCTTCTACTTGAGCCCTTGGTATCAGCTTCTCATTTTGCCCCCTCCCTCCCAAACCCTTGATAATTTAGAAATAATTTTTTTTTCATGTCTTACACTAACCAATGTCTTCCTTCACCCACTTTTCTGTTCTCCGTCCCCCAGGGAGGGGATTATATGTAGATCATTGTGATTGGTTCGCCCTTTCTCCCTCCACCCTTCCCTTACCCTCCTGGTATCACTACTCTCATTCTTGGTCCTGAGGGGTTTATCTGTACTGGATTCCCTGTGTTTCCAGCTCTTATCTGTACCAGGGTACAATCTTTGGTCTAGCTGGATTTGTAAGGTAGAATTAGGATCATGATGGGGGAGGGGAGGAGGAAGCATTAAAGAACTAGAGGAAAGTTGTATGTTTCATCAGTGCTATACTGCACCCTGACTGGCTGGTCTCCTCCCTGAGGCCCTTCTGTAAGGGGATGTCCAGTGCCTACAGATTGACTTTGGGTCTCCACTCCACACTTTCCCTCATTCACAATATGATTTTTTGTTCTGGGTCTTTGATACCTGATCCTATCAATACCTCATGATCACACAGGCTGGTGTGCTTCTTCCATGTAGTCTTTGTTGCTTCCCAGCTAGATGGCTGCTTATTTATCTTCAAGCCTTTAAGACCCCAGACGCTATATCTTTTGATAACCAGGTACCATCAGTTTTCTTCACCATTTTTGCTTATGCACCCACTTTGTCTTCAGCAATCATGTCAGGAAGGTGAGCATCATGGAATGCCAGGTTATTAGAACAAAGTATTCTTGCCTTGAGTGGAGGCCCAATGTCCATCTGCTATCTTAATTCTTAACATATAGATATGAGTACATAGATGTATTCTCCTCTCGTTATATATAAGTATATTTACATATGTACATGCTGTATTTAGACCTCTAGAAATGCCCTTTGTCTCCTGGTTCTTCCCTCTATTTCCTTTTGCTTTCCTCCCAGGAGGCTCCTTGAGCACTACTGTATCTTAATCCTTGGACGCACCACGAAGACCAAGTGCTGCCTTCCAGAAGTGTGTGGTTCCATTTGATGCAGGACACAGCGTCTTCACCACTAGGTTTTTAATACAAGCAAAGCCTAGTCCTGCGGCTGGTATACAGCGGGTAGTCAGCAAATGCTGCTTCCCCTTCTTGAGGACAGCCTGCAGTGGAATACTGGGAATGTTCTTAAACTCTTTCCAGGTAGACAAGGCGCCAGGAGAAGTGGGTGGAGATGTTGGTTTGTATCTGGCTTTTTGAACATCATGATTTATTTTTAGAAGTTCCAAACATCAGGTTGGAAATGCATGCAAAGGGAGGGGCTTATTCTAAGCAGAGGAGAGCTCCGTGCAGCCTGGGACATTGTCTCCATGGTGCACAGCCCCAGACAGCTTGGAAACAAACAGAAACCCATTTAGAGTTTTGCCTGACAAAGGCAAAAACAAACAAAGGCCAAGAGATGGAAAACTCACATGGTGTGGAGGGGTGAGGAGGAGGGGCTGGGGGGCGGACAGACTTAGGGAGAGGAAAAGTCGTATTTCGGTGTGAGGAGTCCAGTTCAGGCTGGGGTGGCTAAGAATCACCATGGCAACAGGGAGGGTGTTTGCAGAAGATTCCAAGCCAACTCAACCTCCTGGGCTTAGCAGTGGGACTGAGTTCAGATGCTATGAGCCTATGTCCTAAAGAACGTATCTGAATTGAGTCCATGAAGTACCACCTGGCTCCTGGTTCCGCAGGCGATCACTCTTTCCTGAAATGAATGAACCAGAAGCCACAATGAACCGCATACCTACTGCACCGCTCTCATGTTCACAAACACACTTACCAAGAGGCCCACAGAGTAAGACCTTTCACCTTTGTGCTGGAGACCGATGGCTCATGGGGCCCTTGGCGTTTCCTGGAAGCAGGTATCTTGCTTGGGGGAGGCCCACTTGCCACCCTTGCCAGAGCTGTATCCCCTGACCGTGGCATTTGTGACAGAGGGCAGACAGGTGGCTTTCACAAGACCAAAGGGCACCCGGGCCCTGATGTGAGGTAGCTCCAAATGAGCCACCACCGGTCTCCTCTGCCACCAGCTGCCTGGTGAACTGGCCTCATCTGTAAAGCAGACAATCACCCTACTTGCCTCGTAGGCCTGTTGTGCGAAGGAAGTGAACCTGGACATGAAGGCACCTGACTCCAGGTCACATTAGGGCCCCTTGCCAAATACTTCCCAGCTCAGGAGGCCTTCCTGTGTTGTCAGAGCGGGACTTTGCTTCTCGGGCTTTTCAGAAGGCAACCACCCGGCCCTGAGCCTTCAATCTTTCTGTTGGCAGCCAAGTGCTTAACTGTTTGCACCCACGAGGCTCCAAAACTTAGCAGACCATACAATACCATCCGTTGATCTGTCGCCCCGCCCCCCCCGCCCCTCGCCTCCAGCCTCCCCCACCAGACCCTCAGGTCCATGAAGACAAGGACACGCTGCACTTGATCCGTCTTGCATTTCTAGTCCTGGTGCTCACCAGGTGCTCACATACTTGTTGCACCAACAATCAGGAATCCAACACCTTTCAGGTGGCCTTGCGGTCACCCTGTGCAAGGAAGGGAAGCAAGGTTAGGGCTGCAAAGGGTTAAGAGGGCACAAGCAGCAGGCTCATGCCACGGCCACCAGCGGTCAGTTGGAAAGTGCTTTTATTGTCTTTGAAATGGTCTGGCAGTCAATGTAGAAATCATGAAAGTTGCTTTCTCACAATTTTACAAATTATAGAAAAATTATTTTCCTCCTCCTCTACAGAAATCTCACTCTTGGATCAGACTGGGTTCCTCCGAGGCTGACACCCTGCCAGAAGGAGGGGGCCAAGAGGGCCATGGCTGGCTGGGCACAGGCTCTTCCTCCTCATTTTCAGCCACCAGCCTGTGACACACACACACACACACACACACACACACACACACACCCAGGGAAGCTCCATGCACAGCTGGCGGCCTCTGTCCCCTAGCCCAGCAGTCCCAAGGGCTTGGGGGCCAGGCAGGCTGCAGTCAGGGCCGCTTCCTAAGAAGAGCAGGAGGGCCAGCCTGCAGCTCAGAGCCCTTTCTCGAAAAACCAGCCACTGGCCAGATGGTACCCTATGTTTAGACACCCCATTTCCATCACCTCACAAAGCCTAATTTGTCAAAAAGCTTCCCCCCCAAATTAAAAACACTTGATTCCATTTGCAGCTGTAAACAGCCATTGGTAATTTTTACAAAAAGATGTTAAGTTTAGGGTTGGTTTTTTTTTTACCACACCTCTGAAATTCTTCCTTTATCAGCCTGTGGTTTGGGGGCGGGTGCGGGTTGGGGTGGGGAGCAGAGCTGGAACAAAAGGCTGTTTCTGTTGATCTGAGAAAACCGTGAAAGATGTTTTGCGTTCACATACAAAGGCTGATGGAACTCAAAAGCAAGCCCATTGAACCATGACTGTTCCTCTTGGATGTCTCAGTCAAAACAAGGCGATCAAGGGTTGGCCACTTGCTGCCAGGAGCACTGATGGCGTGGACACTGTTTTCAAATGGGGCTGGCCTTCCCCTGGGCCCCAGCTGGGAAGCCACCTCCCCAGGACTAATTGAGAAGGAGCAGACATGGGGGCTCCCACAAAACGTGAGCACGAGAGACCACATTGTGGCTGGGAGCATCATCAGAGTCAACGCCACATTGATGGCATACAGAGTGGTCCACGGGCCCCCAGTTGGCCCCCAGGGTCGGCCTGGCTGGATGAAAGGGGCAGAGGCATGGGGCAGATTCTCCTAAGGCACGTGGTCAAGACGGCTCCCACACCAGGCCCAGAGAGATTATCTCTTCTCCCGATTCCAGAAGTGTTGGAAGGTAGAGGAGTTGATGGCGCTCACTATGAGCAGCAGCAGCAGATACAGGGATATCAGGACCATAAACCAATGGCTAGAAAACCAGGCCAGCTGGCTGGATGCCCTGTTTAAGGGGAAAGAGAATGATGTTGGCAAAGGGAGAAAAGCCTTTTTTTTGGTCTTCCAAAAAGATATATGCAGCAACTTCTGGCCTCAGTGGACTAACTGATGAATCCCATCCTCAGCATGAGCCAGGAGCTGAAGCGTCACCATGCTTCTGTGCCTGAGAAATCTGGAGCTGTTTGCCCTGGCACTGACACGCCAGGGGCAGCCATGCAAAGGGCTCATCCTGTGCTCCCTTTATAGCTCCTCGTGTACCTTTGATAACCCGTCTGTTCTCTAGCACGGTTTTGGTATCTAGAAGGGCCCCGCTTGAGGTTGATGGTCTGTGTGGAGGCAAGTGGCAGGTTATGAGCTAACTAAGTCTTATCCGTTCTAGATGCAGACTGGAGTCTGAGCTGGGGAGATCATCTTTGACTTACTACGGTGTGATTTGAATCAGACAAGTGAGCACTACACTCCTGGGAGAAGTAGGAAAGGAATGGAATTTCCAAACAAAAACAAGTCAGATGATTTCAAACCCAAAGACCAAACACTGGGACCCTGTACAAATTCCCAGAGTTTGGGGGGAAATGCTATTGGTTTATGAAATCCTGAAGGCACACAGAAGCAGAGGTTCTTAAAAATCACCTCCTGGCCCATCTCACCTGCTCACCTGCTGCTGCCCCTTAAAGAGGTTCTCTCTACCATAGACCTCAACAAAGTGAATGCTAGGCCCTGGAGCACCCTGTCCATACCCCCATCACTACACTGCTGGGTGAGATGAGGCATCCACCCTGGATCTTAAAAGTAAGAGCTCCGCACCCCTTTCACCCGCCAGCCGCCACCAGCCGCAGCCTCTCTTGTTGTTGGGTTCAACTCCTTCATTTTGCAGATAAAGAGGAGACATCTCAAATCCAGAGAGAGGCGGGTGGGGGGGTCCCGTAGCCACTGTGAGAACTGGCTGAGCTGGGCTGCAAACACTCTCAGCCAGCACCCACCCTCTACTCTGCCCGGCCAATGGGCTGCATTTTGTGACCTCTAAGCCTAGGCAGCTAAAAGACCTCAAGGTTTGCGGGCAGCAATTTGGCAATGTTATCTGTGTTCACAACGCTTTTTCTGTCTTTGTCCCTAGAATGTACTGTCTTTGGGGGCCCAGATCACATCTCATTAGATCCCTCAGCCTATCCAACATGCTTCATACATAGCTGGGGTCTAACAAAGTCCAAGTGGGGTGGCTGATAACCACGAAACCCAAGCCTCAGGTACAGCCATTCAGTTCTCTGGGGCCTCATGCAGGGACCACCTGCCTTACCTCTTGGGCTGCTTCTGCGAGTAGACCAGCAGGTACTTTACTCGCAGGAGCTGGTTGTTGGTGACCACAAAGTACTTTGGAGGGATGTCTCCCCCTTCACTGTGTTTGATCCTCGCTCTCCTGCGATCTAGCTCCTTGGAATCTGCATCAGGAGAGGTCAGTCAACCGACAGGGGAGAAAACAAGCACACACTTTATTAGAGGAAGGGGGCGGTGGGAGACAATAACAAAGGAAGCACATTATGACTAGAAGCAGGGTCAAGCTTCCAGGCCTGAGGGTGGAGAAGACCCAGCAGGCTGCCGAATAACCTAGAGGTGCCCAATACAGCCCAGAACTAGTGGAGAATCCAACAGTCAGAAGGGGAAAAGGAACAGTAAACTTTTAGGGGGAAAAGGAAAGAAGCCAACTGAGTAGGGACAAAATGGGAAAGGCAGATGGGCAGGAGAAACAAACACAAGCTCCGCTGGGCCAAGACCTAGGGAATGCACTTGGTCGGAATCAGGGAATGCACTTGATCGGAAACAAGTTTCTTGGTAGACATTTTAAATGAACCACTCTGGATTCAAATGGCGCTCAGGAAGCTTAGGAGCCTACACGCTGGGCTGCTAACCACAAGATCAGCAGTTCGAAACCACCGGTCTTGGGAGAAGGAGAAGGCTTTCTACTGCCGTAAAGACTTACAGTCTCAGAAGTCCACAGGGGCAGATGTCCCTGCTCTATCGGCATCGTTCTATCATCAGAACTGACTCAGAGCAAGGAGTTGGGTTTTGAGGGTTTTTGTTTGTTTGTTTTTTGATGACAAACTGATTTATTTGGGTTTTGAGTTTTACTCCGAATTCAAGCTTCTCGGAACACTCATCTTCCATGTCTCATACTAAGGTGTTCAAAAACAAAATCCTTTTCAATAGCATGAAAAATTTTACAAAAAAAAAAGGAAGAGGGGAAGGCGGGGGCCAAGGTGAGGACAACAGAGGAGGCAAGGTCTTGTTTGATGCTTACTGTCATGGCTTACAAACCTCCCGAGAATTATAAATACAAGTATGCATGCAATCTGCTTTGGGAGGTGGTGGCAGACCTGGGCCTGGGCCTGGGCCTCAGAACCCCAGGTGTTTTCCATTAAAGACTAGGAACAGGCCGCTTCTGGACGCCTTTTCTCAGCAGAAACACGGCCACTTCTGGAGACCGGTGGTCATGTGGCCTCTCTTGCTCACGGGGTGGGTGAATACTTCGGGGGCAGGGGCACAGGGAAAATAAGGACATTGGGGGGAGGAGTCACAGCAGGCAGATCAGCTCCGTGAGCTCAGACCCCTGGCCTCTGCTGCACCTCACAGTCTCCGGGGCTCTGGCATCCACCAGAGTAGCCCAGAGCGATGGGGTCTGGACCCAGAGTCCTTAGCGTCAAGTCAGCTCTCTGCTGACACTAGGTTCTCCAAAATGAGTGAGACTGTTGAAATGGCAAATGTTTTGGTACCACCATTTGAAAAGCTGCAATGGGCTGGGCATGGGGAGGGGAGGAGAATGAGTGAGGCTCAGCTCCTGCCTCAAAGAGTCTGCTGCATCTGTCCCATCTCGGCTCCTCAAGATGACCTTCTGTTAACTTTCACCACGAGAAACTAAAACTAATAATCCCACCTTCCCCCCAAAAGTTGTCGTTGGGATCCACTCTGACTTCCCCTTCCTCTGAGCTTCCCATTTGGCCCTAACTCCTGCTCTCGGTCTCCCTCCCACGCAGGAAGAGAGAGCTTGTCCATTCTGCATCCAGTTGGAAGACCCTTGTCCTGCTCTTCTCTGGATGGGACCCTCCTGACCCAACACCTGGACCTACAGCATACAAGCCTGTGCACCCCACGCCCAGGCCCAACCCCGGGCCAAGCCTGCACTCACCTTTCTTTTTGGTTTGGCACTTGACATCTGGGTGGTCAATGACTTCGCACACAGCCACACAGCTGAGGAGGGGGCCAAGGAGGCTGCGCTGCCACCCATGGCCGTGGGGGCTGTAAATGAGGGCCAGGCTCAAGTCACTGGTGAGGTAGGTCCCCTCCCCGAACAAGGACGTCTGGAGTGGCAGAGGTCAACAGAAAAGAAGCACAGCCGGTGAGTGTGGAGAAGGGCGTCGGATGGGCAGGTGACCCGGGTCTTCCTTCCACCGAGTTGTAAACCAAACTTGTCACACCAGGTGTCTCCCAACAACAGACAGAGAGCCAACTAGTTCTGGGGACCATCATCTGGCTGTGATTAGACATTCCACTCTAGCAAGGGTTTAATTTGTAGGTGTGGCCACCTCACGCACCAAACGAGGAGTTCCTGGAGGTGAAAGTGGGAAAAGGATGGCTCTAGGAGTCCAAACAGATCTGAGTTTGAATCCTGCCTCTACCTCCAATAAATGGGCAAGTTATATAAACTCTCTGAGTCTCCCTCTCTGCAGGACAGAAGGAGAACAGTCCTTGCTCCACAAGGTTATGGGTGAGCATAAGAAAGCGCATGCCCATGAAGTATGGCACAGGACACTTGGCACATAGGAGGGATTAACTAGGTCAAGAAGGCATGGGTTCTCCATGGAGTCCCTGAGGGGAACACACAGCTAACACGTTTGGCTGCTAATGGAAAGGTTGGCGATTGGAGCCCACACATGGGCACGCGGCAGAAAGGCCTGGCAAGCTACTTCCAGAAACACCAACCATCCCAAACCCTCTGGGGCACAGTTCTGTTCTGACACCAGTGAGGTGGCCAAGAGTCAGAGTCAACTCGACAGCCACTGGTTCGGGGTCTTCCATCCCAAGCTCCTAAGTGTCTTTATCTTTTAGTCCCACTTTTCCATGAGCCGTTTGAAACCCTCTTGTATGGTGACTCCTGTTACATCGTTAATTAATGCCACAACACCCTTATGTGCAAGGAGCTCATGCCAGAAGGGGAAGGGAATCGAAGACATTACTGGGGTAAGAAATGCTTCTCAGACCAGAAACACTAACTGAATGAAGGAGGCCTACATGAGGGTGGGGTATATAACTCATTTGTGTTGGCACTGACCAAGAGAATGTCCCAGACTCTAGAAGGCCGCTCCCTGGTGTTTTCCACGAGGAAGCAGGCCTGGAGCCAGCAGGAAAGACCAGGTGAGACACCTGCAAGTTGAGGGCTCCGATCATTTGCCCATGACAGACATCAATAGTCAATCACGGTGATTAAAGTTCAAATACCAACCATGGCACTCCTTCATACTGAGCAGACTCACACTTCTTCTCCATCTAACATCCCAGGCAGCTGACACCAATGGATGGACTTTGACACTTAAGTTGAAATGCCGGAGCTCTCTCACAAGCTGAGGAGGGGCCTGAACAGCTCACTGAAACATCGTATCCTCCAGAAAGGAGAACTCTTTCCCGTGCCTAAAGGCTTCCACAGCCCTTACCCTGAAGGCTTCGGGGAAAGAATCCCACCTCAGTCAGCTTAGGCAGTCTCCTCAGCCCGAAAATGCTGACACGGACCTTCACCAACGACACTAGACGTCCCTGATCTGACCCAAAATCCACTACCTGCTCACAGCTGCAACGTATGCACCCTGCCCTGGACTTGAGAACGTTGTGGGCTGGGCGGCTGCTGGAGGCAGGGTGCCGGTGCCACGAAAACAACTCGCAGCTTCAGCTGGCAGGAAGCGCCCTCCATGCAGCAAGCCCCTTGCTGAACACCCAGAAGCCAGGGAGCCAGAAGGGGGTGGACTTGACACCACAGGACTCCTCACCAGATGTCTCTAAGCAGCAAGCTCCCCAGGACACTGACGTGAGGGACTGCTGTACAAGAATGTCTCCTTCTCCAGGCCAGCTCTTGGGTGAAGTGGGGCCCCCTGGGTCCCAGTAGCCTGGCCGTAATAAGAAACTGAGCCAGAATAAACAAGCCTGTCATCCTCAGCAAGACTCAACTGTGCTAATGAGACCCAGCAGCGTTAGAGAAGGCCACTTCAGCCTGAGGGCTGCTCAGCCCACGGGTCACGAGCCAGACAAGGCAGATCTGCCAGCACGAGAGACAGGCCTGTAGCCCCCACGCCTCAGACACCCTGTCCCCGAGCCTCTGATTAAAGCAGCGGCCTCTTTCCCAGTGTTTACTACTCGTGGGGCCCTCTGCTGACACGGCCTGTTGCAACCTGCTCAGCACACCTGAATGTGGGTAAGCAGACCACGCCAACCTGTTGCTACTCAGCCGGTTCCAACTCGAGTGACCTCACAGGCCAGCGCAGCGCTGCGCCACGGGGTTTCCTGTGTTGTCCTCCTGACTCCAGAAGCAGACAGCCGCGTCTTTCAGGGGGGAGTAGCTGGGGGCTCAAACCGCTCACCTCTCCGCTAGGATCGCATCCCTTCTTTACAGCTGAGAAAACTGAGGCTCAGAGAGTTTATGTAAATTAGCCAGGGCTGCAGAGCCTGCTAAGTAAGCCTTTCTGGGCCCAACATCTGTCTGCGCTCTTCCCACCTGTCCTTGAAGGGCGAACTACCCTCAGTGAGCAGGGTGCGTGTGACCGCCTCTGTTTCAACGCTCTCGAGAAAGAAGAGGAACTCAGGGAGGGAGGGAGGGGAAAAGAAAGAGCCCCCTCAGGGCCATTCCCAGTTGGAGCGTCCCCAGTGCAGTGCTCCTCTGCCTTCTGGGTGCATGCATCCCTGGGGGGCGGGGGTCTTGTGAAAGTGTGGCTTCATTTTTAGACAAGGTTTGATACTCGGCGTTTCCAGCAGGTCCCCAGGTGAGTGGCAAGGCCTGGCCATACACATGGGAAGCCTCCGGAGAGCTGTCAAAGAACGCATGGTCTGAAGCCTGCCAGGCACTGGGGTCTGTGAACGCTCTCCACGGGCACCGTCCTTAAACAGATGCTCCGGAAAGTGCACCCTGCCTGGGAGTCGCTTGTTACAAAGCAAACTCCGATGCCCACAGTCTGGGCCGAGGCCTTTCTAACCGGCTCCCAGGTGCTTCTGCTGCCACGTACCACACCCCTCCTCCCCCGCCCACCAGCACACACACTCCCCAGGCTCTGCCCGGGGGCAGGGCACCCACTGGCCCCACCTTGTTCAGGTGGCAGTGCAGGCCATTGTGGACGATGGAGTGGAAGTTTTCCAGGCGGCTCCCGTGGAAGGCGTAGAGCAGGTCCCGTTCTCCTTTGGTCTCATAGAATTTGGCATTGGCTGGGTCGGAATACTCGAGCTCAAACAGGAAGTCCGGCGTGGGGACAGGGGTGTGAGGGGCGCCCGTCAGCTTTCGGATCTTTTCAAACTGGAAAACATAAAAGGAGTGCAAACTTTAATTGGGAAGCTGGTGAAAAGGGTTGCAAAGATGGCCCCTTGAAGCCCGAGCGTAACTGCCCTGGGCTCTGCTCACGCAAAGAACTGGTCTCAGGAGCTAACGCTGTCCTCAGCTTACGACCAGGCTTGGAGCTCACTGCTCAAGACTGCTTCCTCTACAGAAGGAGCAATCACACCCTCGAGGGAGGGGGCCACTCCTCAGACCCACCAGCGCCCACACAGCGCACAGGAAAGGACGCCGGGAGATGCGGAGCCCAGGATGGACGTGAGACTGCGGGACAGCAGGGGGCTGCCAGGGACGTCGTCGTCGCAAAATGCGTAGACATGACTGAGTGGAAAACCAGTTTGCTGTAAACTTTCACCCAAAATAATACAAAATGTTAACAGCAACAACCACCAAAGGACAACTTCCTCACAGGCATTAACTGTGCCTTCTCACTAGCGAGTGGTCACTCTTCATTGATATAGCACATTCACGCATTTCCTGCGTTCCATCTTTACAGTCCTCCTAGGGGGTACCGTATATACTCGTGTATAAGCCAAGTTTTTCAGCACTTTTTAATGCAGCGTTTGTGGTAAAATTAGGTGCCTCGGCTGATATTCGGTTGGCTTATGTACGGTAATTGGGAAGGTATAATCAATTGCAACAATGGCTACATATTTGTCCTCCCATCTCTGAGGGTACACCCTTCTACAATACCTTTGTCAGAGGAATCCCACCACGAAAGGTAATCTGTATCTCCAACCTCTCTGAACCTGGGCTTGGCAGGTAATTTGCAGTGGCCAGTGGGAGCTTAGCTGACATATGGCAAAGAGAGACTGAAAATGGCTTTCCCTTGATTCTTTGCTGCTGGTAACCCTTCACCTGTCACTGCCACGTGGACAAGCCCACACTGGCCTCCTAAAAGACGAGAGTCTCACAGAGACAGCTCCCTCCAGCCTTCCCCCGACACCTGGAAGTCCCAGCAATGCACCTGAGGCTACCATAGACCCTCCAGCCCCCGCCCCACCCGCACCAGACCAGCCCGCCAGACCCACCCAAACCACCCTCAGAATCATGAGAAGCAATCAAGATTTGTTGCTTAAAGCCAATTTTTTGACGGGCTTATTTGGCATCAAAAGCTAACTGATACAGGAGGGGACGCCCCTTCCTAAAAGACATTTCTCTTCAGGGCAGTGATGTTTCAACAGGAAGCCACAGATCAAAGCCAGTGTGTGGCAAACTTGTCTTTGGGTCATGTCTAAATGAGAAAAATTCAGACAATGGAATATGTTCATGTGACGATAAGGTTGCCATAATTCTTTCTTTGGAAGACACATTCTTTATTCTAAGATCAAGACCACCCTCTTTCTTTGATGTTAAAGCATCCTTTTACGGAATGGTGATAAATGGTAGGCTAATGACTTGGACAAAATAAAGAGCTTGCAACCCTGGGTGCTAGCCCCCAGCATTTCCGTGAAATTTGAACTGGTCTATAATCAGACAGCAAGGAGAAAAGAAAAGGAAAAGGCCAAGAAACGATTGCCTTGTCCACTTCAGCTACTGCGCTCCACCTCTGTTAGGTGCTCGGTAAGCAGGTGAGCAATAAGTGAATGAGCTACAAATGAACAGGGGCGTCAGATAAAACCCAGAGATTACGCAGCGACTTAGCAACCCAGCCTGAACATGAGCAAGGGTTTCCAGACCCACACTGAGTCCTGTGAAGTGTTTTCCTAACAGACAAAGAAGGATCTCCCTTGGGCACTAGATTCCGAGACATCAATTTTCTTTGCTGCAAACGTTTTTAAAACAAATTTTATTGTGAGTGAGGTGAAGGTATGCAGAGATCATCAGTTTTACACTCAACAATTCATACATATTTTGCTTCACCTCATCATTGCTACCTCCTCCATAAATCATCGCTCCCCACTCCCCTCTTCCTCTCCTCACCCTTCTGAACTCTGTCCTTGGCCTAATGCTGCCCCCTTGATCTCCAGTGGCTGATCACTCTGAGGCTGTGTGCCGCACCAGTGGTGTCCGTAGCTGGCTAGCTCACTCTGAGGCTGTGTGCCACACCAGTGGTGTCCGTAGCTGGCTAGCTCACTGTTCCCCTCATAGACCTATCTACCATTTGGCTGAAAATTAAGCCATATCAGTGAGTTCACTTCCAGGCCTGAAGAACAAGATAGCAGATTCTACAGATATGTCTGTCTCGGAGAAAAACGCACAGGTTCAGGATGCTCGTCATCCCTGCCAGTCCCCAGGCATCATACTGGGCTGGAGACACCGGGATGGTGGAGTGTCTGACCTGAGCCAGAAACGTGCCGTGGGGAGGGGACACTCATTCAATCACAGCCCTTCTCTGAGGCCTCTACCGATATTCTCCACGTAGAAATGGAGGAAAGGTCTCAAGAACTGAGAGGTGGGACTCGAACTCAAACCTAAGGTTTTCCACTGTTTGGAGCTGTCCCTGTTTGCTGCAACGGGATTTGGCCATGTTTCTTAAGGTGGTCTATTCAGGGCTCACCTTTATCAGAATTACCTGAGGTGCCTGTTAAGTCAGCGATGCTCAACCTTACTGAGCCCATAGCATGTGTCAGGCATGGTCCTGAGTGAGAAAATTCATTCCAAACTCACAACAGTGGTAAGATGGCAATAGACTACATAGACTACCAGGATTCCCACTTTACAGAGGAGAAAACTGAAGTACTGGAAGCCACCCAGTAAAGCCCAGGCTTAGTGACCAGATAGAGACTAGGGGAACCCGTGAGACTATGGTTCTTAGTCAGCCTTTAGGGGTGGAACCGCCCCCCAGCCCCCCACCCGTCCCCGAGCAATTTGCAGCCAAACAAGAGACAGGTATAGAAGGTGAACAGTACACGCCTGAGGAGCTCACACCTTAGAAAACCCAGCCCTTTGAGACCAGAAGGGCAGCACTGACCCAAGGACAGAGTACAGAAGGGCTAGGAAACAAGAAGGAATGGACACAGGAAATGCAGGGAGGAAGTGGCATGAGAGGCGGTACACTGTGGGGACTGCAGAGAGTGAGAGGAAACCAAATGTGCAGGGACTGTTGAATGTGTAAAACTGACGACCTGCTCCGTAAACCTTCACGGAAGTCACAGTAACAAGTTCAAAAACAAGAGACATGGTCATAGCTAGTAAGAGGCCGGCCCAGCCATTGCCCTGCCAGCACGCACTCAGAGGCAGTCTCAAGAGCTGTGGAGGATGAGTCCAGGGATCTGCATTCTCAGCAAGCCACCAGGGAGGTCTCAGAGCCACTGGGTCTGGATTCCGCATGGCCCCAAAGCTCTGAGCGTGCAGCGATCTGCGATGCCACAGACCAAGGTCTCACCTCTGCTTTCCCTGCGCTGTGGATTGTCAGGCCCTTGGAGGACAGAATCCAGCTCACCAGGTCCCAGGCCCGCTTGTCTTTGTCTCCGGAAGACAAGAGAAGTTCCTTCAAGTTGGGTAGCAGGCTGGCATCTGCAAGCTGGAGTGGAGGGAAGAAGCGGGTAAAACCTCCATTAGCAGGGATCCCCACAAGTGATGAGCAGGAGCCCTCTAGTGTTGATGCTGGGCACCTTCATTTCTTTCATGTTCTAAGAAGTGCCTGCCCCTGAGCAAGACCCTTTGCCTTTGAGTCAGAGCAACTCCATCAGACCAAGTGGAACAGCCTCTTGGGCCTCCAAGGCTGGACTCCTTATGGAAGCAGACAGCCACCTCTCTCTCCTGAGGAGCTGCTGGTGGGTTCAAACCACTGACCTTTTTGTTAGCAGCCTAGCTCTTCACTGCTGAGCCACTACTGCCCTAAGGGATTTCCTGCGAGAGGAAAAATGCAAAGGTCTACAAAACCATAATGCTCCGAGCACAGAAAGTATTATGTTAACTCACGGGGCTCAAACCTGACCTGGAGTGATGGGAGGTTTACTTATGGACTGTTGATGCTTCTTTTTTTTTTCTCTCAGAAATATTGATGTCTGATTAAGACCCATTTCATATTTGCATGTAAAAATGGAGATAAGCAGTTCATACCTGGGTGATGCAAATGGTTAACACACTGCTCATCGAAAGGGTGGGGTTTTGAATCACAAAAAGACAAGTATTGTATAAGTCCGCTCCTATAAGAAGGGACATCAATTAAACAAATCTTGGGAACCAATTCCTGAACAAAAGGGGAGAAGGCTACTGCATTAGTCCAGGTTGACCAGAGGACAAATTCATAGACACTTCTATGTGTATAATAAAGAACTTCACATAAAAGAGCAATTGACAGGTCCAACAGGTCCGCCACATGCAGATACACCCACATACCAGTACCTGGCATGAAGACTGTTACCCATGCTACTCCATGCTTCAAGAGAAAATTTCGTTTATTTATAAATGGAAATAAATATTTCACAATATAGGATTACATATTATTTTGTAACTAATCACTATAATTATGTTCAATTTGTAACAATGAAAATACATCCTGCATATCAGATATTTACATCATGATTCATAACAGTAGCAAAATTACAATTATAAAGTAGCAACGAAATCATTTTATGGGAGGGGGTCACCACAACATGAGGAACTGTTTAAAGGGTTGTACATTAGGAAGGTTGAGAACTGGGCAATGAATGTACAAGTGTGCTTTACACAATTGATGTATGTATGGATTGTGATAAGAGCTGTATGAGCGCCTAATAAAATGATAAAGAAATTAAATATTAAAAACAAAAAATTTAAAACAAATAAAGAAAAGGAAAAAGAAGGGGGAAAAAAGGAAGGTTGAGAGCCAGTGCTCTGGACCCAGCCTGACGTGTTCTAGGTGTAAGGGGCTCTTGCTTGTTCCATGACCAGCATTTCTTCCCTGACTTTTTACAGACTCAGTGTTTCTTCCCTTCTTACTCATTGTTTACATATTTACCTTTATATTACTATTGCTTTATTCTTACTACTTTATTTTTTGTTCTTTATTGTTTCTGTGGAGTTTACCTGTTCGTGAAGCAAGGAGTGGATGCCTAGATATGAAGCCATGCAAGAGCTTGTTGGGGATGAAGGGTGGGAGGGAGATGGGGAAGGTAAGGGGATTTCCAGAGTAAACATGAAGGCAGGAGGGGGAGGGAGCACTAGAACTGAATATGATTTAATCATGGGGGGGAAAAGAAAGAAAACGTTCTAAATTGATTGTGGTAATCATTGTACATTTTTTCTTGATATGACTGAATGATTGAATTATATAATATGTGGGTTAAGTGCCAATAAAACGGTGAAAGAAAGAAAGGTTGGGGTTAGGCGCATATGCTAACTACTACACTAAGGCAACCTGCCTTGGAAGGTTGGGGGTTTGAGCCCACGCACAGGGTCCAGGTGAGAAAGCTTGGTGAGTTACTATTGGCGTACAGTTTTTCCTCAGACACACGTGGGGTCACCAGGAGTGGGATCTATGGCAACTAGTGGTTTTTGGGTTTAACAAATGTTTTCCCTTAAGCATGAGAAAATGACCTTCCATTAACACCCCCCCAACCTCCCCACCCCCGTTAACCTGCCCCTCTGGAGACCCAATCAAGACAGTATAACACCCACCACATGAAGTCAAAGTGTTCAAGGTCAAAAGACCCTGGACAAGAACTCTCTATGGGAACAAATTGGCAACCGCAACTCAGAAGTTTGGGTGGAACCTGAAGAGCAGGGAGTCCATGCTCATGGGGGAGGGGCAACTCCGAAAAGGGGAGAATGGTTAGGACAGGCTGCAACACGCGGGCACTGAACGGACGCCGCCGTGGAGAAAGTGCTTACGTGGCGTGGCTTTTGCTGTGCATATTCCCAGCAACCACAAAATGAAGGGCAGCTGAAGAAAAGCCCGGCGGAACATGGCTCTGCTCTGCACCCTGGGGTCCCAAGAGGCAGGGGATTCCGTGATGCCGAGCAACCACCCCTGAGCCTTCGTTTAAGAAAGTCATCCAGTTTATTTCCTGCATATCATGGTAATTTAAATTTGAGATACAATATACCCAGATGGTAACTATTGAAGTTATATATTTTTTCCAAATAAAATATTTTCATGCTTTCCAAAAAAATTACTGAGTAGTCCGAATAGTAGCCACATGCGGACTAGAAATCACTGACAACAGGGTGGCTGGGATTTCCCTGAGCGGGGTGACTATGCGGAGACCCGGAAGCATGCCGTGTCTGTGAGGGAGGGGCTCCCTCAAACAGGCCCTGCTCCCACCCAGAAGAATCCCATCTCCTCACTTAAGCGGAGGAAGAGGGGGGAGCTGACAGCAAGTAGCCCACAAAGACGCTACAGAAAAAGGATGGTAGGTCACAGCCCTGTGGGCTCCCAGTGTCACCTCTGACAGACCCCAGTGCTGAAAGCTCATCTGCACCTTGCCTCACATCATCTCCTTTTAAAATCAGCATGTTCCAAAAGGCCCGGCCTATTTCCTATCAGGATTTCTAAGGAAGCAAGGATATAGCAGAAAGCTATCTAGCTTCTGCCTAGAAATTGTGCAGGGTTAAACAGAGGCGAGGCTCCCCCTGCAGTGCATTTAGCCCTCCACTGCTGCTGCCCCTGACCAAGCCAGGGGTTGGTTGCCCCCCTCCACACCTTTGCTCACTCAGTGGCCCACCATGGGAACATCCTCACCTTCCCCTACAACTGGGGACTCCCCTGACCCAAGACCCCTTTCTTTTAAGCCTGTAAAGCATTCAGCCTCATTCCTCTCCCCAGGTTGGCCAGGACTCCTGGAGGCCAGGACTGCCCAGTGTTTGCCGGACTCTGCCCTTTCCTGGATATAGAGGAGCGAGCACGGGCCCTGAGGCGCCGATGTCAGCCCCTGCTCTGGCACAGGCTGGCCTCTAAAGTGTGGCAGCCCACTCCTCCACATCAGGTCGTGGCAACTTGGTGGCACATCTCATCTGCAATTGTCAGTTACCAGAAAGGAGGCCCGGAAATTGCTCTAGAGATTACAACCAATGAACACCCGTGAAGCTGTTCTACCCCGTGGCACAGTGGTCCTCTATTATTTATTTTTATTTTTTACATTTTTCTAACCCTAACCCTAACCTACACAGAGGTTCTCATCCTGTGGGTCGAATGACCCTTTCACAGGGGTCACCCAATTCATCACAGTAGCAAAATGACAGTGATGAAGTAGCAACGAAAATAATGTTAAGGTTGGGGGGTCACCACCACACGAGGACCTGATTAAAGGGTCCTGGCATGAGGAAGGTTGAGAACCACTGCCTTAGAGTCAGCAAGGAGACAAAGACAGGGACAAGAGGGAGGGCGCACTAGTACTGATTGTGATTACGTAACTAATTTGAAAGGCGATTTAACCACGGGGAGTGGGGGTGTACTAACGGTGAATGTGGTAATGATTGCACAATTAATCTTGATATGAATGAACGACTGGACTACTGAATTGTATTATATGGGGATTAGGTGTCAATAAAAATGTAAAACAAAACAAAAGAAATGAAAATGTTCCACAAGTATGAGCGTCAATTCCTGTTACCCTTGGTGGTCCCCACCCCACCCCCTGTTGTGCCTTAGGCCCAAGTTCTTGTACTTACTCAGGGGACTTTCACCCTGTGCCAGACCCTGTACTGGTAGGGGGGCGGAAGGGGGCGGGCAGGCAGGGAACCACCAGGGAGGCTGAAAGGTAAGTAACTATGGCTCAAAAGTACTTGCCTAACAAAGACAGATACAAGCTGCTAGAGGGACAAGGAGGGACTGTTGACAGGGAGGTCTCGGGGAGGGGGAAGTGATCACAGTTAATTGTGCAGCCTCTCCCCACAGGGACTGGGTCCACATCTTGTCTCTTAGAGCCCTCCTGGCTGTGTGATCTTGGGTGAATTATTTGACCACTCTGTACCTCAGCTTCCCAGACTATGTAATTGAAATATTAGTACCTATTTCACAAGATCTCTGCGAAAGTTAATGAAGTTAAACAAGTAGCATGCTTTAGAACAATTAAGACGGTATTAAGTGCTCTGTTAGCTCTGATAGAATGTTTGCAAGATCAATGACTTCTTCATTGCAAATACATTTTTCAACACTATAAAGATGACCTCATAAGACAGGGGAGAAGAGGACTCCAGCTCCAGGCCACCAGCAAACTCTCTGCCTAAAACAAAAACCAAACCCCATGCCGGGCACCATGTTTCATCGCAAGTTCTAGAAGATTGCAAAGTGAGTCAAGACTGACAGCTTTGTGAAAAGTGATCTCTCTCTACTTTTTTTTACACAAACAGTATACACGATTGGTTTTTCCGCAGAGCACAGATTATTCCCTGTGCCCGATATGCACACATTACATGCATGCACCTGTTCTTTTCCAAGGCTCATTATATGCACAAAAGTGCGTGTGGTAAATGTCAATATTGAAAAGTGCGTGTGGTAAATGTCAATATTGAATGTCCAAGTTGGTAACCTTTGAGCCAGTAATTTCACATCTCAGAATTTATCTCCAGCATATAACTAGAGATATAAAAAATGAT